AATCCCTCCTGTGAGCAATGCATTAGGCTGGATCCCCAGTTTATATACACTTACACTGTGAGATGGACAGTGAAGATGACTGTCCAATTTGAGTACAAATTATCAGCAACTTCAAAATAAGTACAAAGATGTTGTATCTAAGCAAGTCATAGCTGGTGTTTTTAGTTAATTGATGGTGCCTTAAAGAATAGCCAGAAGCATAAAGCAGTATGTAGTGGTTGGGAACAGAAATGAGATTAGAGAGGAGACTGAAAGGCAGCTGGGATGATAGAGGAAGGCAGGCTGCATATAGAAGAGAGTCAACTGGGAAAGGTGCAGAGTTATTTATACTCCTGCGACCACTCCTGCAACCACTAAAAGGAAGTTGTGATGGAGGAGAGACCTCTGGGCTACTGGCCACCTCAAGACGCACCAAACTTCTAACTAAAGTCAACCAATTTGTCCTTGAACCTTTGTTATGACCCTTGTGGCACTAGATGTTGTACCATCCTGTAGGTGCCTCATAAATAGCTCCCTCACCCTAGCTGGGTTGGCACAGTGGATAGAGAGTTGGCTGTGGGTTGAAGGTTCCCAGGTTTGATTCCAGTCAAGGGCACACACCTCCGTTGCAGGCTCGATTCCTGACCCCAGTCCAGGCACATGCGGGAGGCATCCAGTCTATTTCACTCTATCACATTGATGTTTCTCTTTCTGTGTCTATTCCTGCCTTCCACTCTCTATAAAACTCAATGGGAAAATATCCCCGAGTGAGAATTAACTAATTAAATAAACAACTCCCTCTCTCCAACAAGGGTTGCTAAAGTAAGGCACTTGGAAAATGCGATACTCACATCCTCCCATAACCATATTAAAATTACAGCTAAACTGCAGAATAACCATCATTCAGAATCACCTGAAATTTAATCACCTGAATGGAAGTCCTACAACTAAGGATTTCAAGAAGTAGCCACATTGAGACTGATAGGAGGGGTGGAGATGCAGAACAGGCTGGCCCCACATCCATGTGAAGTGGATAAATATTGGAAGGATAGCTCCACTGCAGTGGTTCTGCCTGAAAAGAAAGTAATACCTGGCCTTCCTGCCCATGATTCCTGTGCCAAGAAGAGGAGTCCCCATAAGTTCTGGCTGTCAAAACCAGCAGACCAGCAGATATTGTGGCTGAGACAGAGGGCTGCTGGAATCCCAGGCAGTTCCTATTAAAGGTCTTTCACAGATTTATTCCAACTAATTCTGAGTTCCAGCGCTAGGGCAAGCAGCTCAAAAGGCACCAGGGACATATAGGGAGGAACTGAACTGTGTGGCACCAGGGCAAGTGGAGGGGAAGCTTTCTCCACACCAGAAGTGCTGGCAGAGGCCATTGTTCCTTTTCTAAGCCATCCCCCACAGAGCCAGCACGCAGGTGCCATACCCTAGTCTCCACAACCTGGCTTATACTGGTCAGCCTGTCAGACCCCACCCCACCAACTTGCAGGCCCACCCCTGCTGCTTCCAGTGGCTTTTGCATATGAATGGCCTCTTGGTTCATGCTTCAGACTTTCATAAAACCTCTCAAACAAGCAGCATATGGCCTCAATGTGCCCTGTACCACTAGCTAAGTGGTCTCAGGCCTGGCAGTAGCAGCAACTGGCCTTGGTTTGAAGTTGGGCCCCTCCTAGGCACCTCCAAGCCTGCACAAGTAGCAGCCATCTGCAAATTGCTTTGTAGGTTATGCCGGATGACCCTAGGCAGAATACAGGTAAGCTGACCTTGACATGTGTCTCTCAGAGCAGACACAGATCTTCTAGACTTCAACCAGTGCTTTTGAGGCTCCCCAGAGCCAGTAGACAGCCTCAAACCATGTTGAAGCACCACCTACCCATCTCTATAAATGACACATTTAACGAGGATACTCAGTGGGGGCTCTGGTACATGGGGTGGGGCCCTGCATCGCAGCCAGTCCTTATAGCTGGGATAAATTACTGCCATTTATGTTCCAACAGTAACCAAGGCAAAAAAGCAATAAATAAATAAATAAATAAATAAATAAATAAATAAATAAGAATAGTGTAAGGAGCCTATGGGACAACTTCAAGTGTACCAATATTTGCATCATGGGGGAGAAGAAAGGAAGGAGAAGAAAGCAAGAAAATGAAAGCCTATTTTAAAAAATAATGATAGAAAACTTTTCTAATGTGGTGAAGGAAATAAACATACAAGTCCAGGCAGCACAGAGAGTCCCATAGAAGATGAATCCAAAGAGGCCCACACTAACACACATAATTAAAACACACACAAAAAAGGTTAAACACAAAGGGAATCCAGCCCCAGCCAGGTAGCTCAGGTGGTTGGAGTATTGTCCTGATGTGCCAAGGTTGTGGGTTTGATCCCTAGTCAGGACACATATAAGAAGCAACCAATGAATGCATAAGTAAATGAAACAACTCAGTTCTCTCTCTCTCTCTCTCTCTCTCTCTCTCTCTCTCTCTCTCTCTCTGTCTCTCCTCCCCTTCTCCCTCTTTCTTCTCTTAAGTCAATAAATAACATTTTTAAAAATTATTTTTTAAAAAGAGAGAATCATATCTAGAAGCAGCAAGAGCAAAGCAATTAGCTACCAACAAGGGAGCTCCCTTAAGACTGTCAGCTGATTTCTTTCTCTTTTTTTTAATATATTTTATTGATTTTTCACAGAGAGGAAGAGAGAGGGATAGAGAGTTAGAAACATTGATGAGAGAGAATCATCGATCAGCTGCCTCTTGCACACCCCCTACTGGGGATGCGCCCTCAACCAAGGTACATGCTCTTGACCGGAATCGAACCCTGGACCTTTCAGTCTGCAGGCCGACGCTCTATCCACAGAGCCAAACCGGTCCCGGCTGTCAGCTGATTTCTTAACAAACTTTGCAAGCCAGAAGGGAGTGACAAGAAATATTCAAAGTGATGGAAATCAAGGATTTACAACCAAGATTATTCTACCCAGCAAAGCTATCATTTAGAATCAAAGGACTTAATGAAGAGCTTCTCAGACAAGAAAAACCTAAAGGAGTTCATTACCATCAAACCTGTATTACATGAAATGTTAAAGTGTTTTCTTTAAAAAGGAGAAAAAAAGAAAAATATAAAAGATAAGAACAATAAAATGGCAATAGATACATATCTATCAACAATTGAATCTATCCGAAACCAGTTTGGCTCAGTGGATAGAGCATCAGCCTGCGGACTGAAAGGTCCCAGGTTCGATTCTGGTCAAGGACATGTATCTTGGCTGCGGGAACATCCCCAGTAGGGGGTGTGGAAGAGGCAGCTGATCTATGTCTCTCTCTCATCGATATTTCTAACTGTCTATCCCTCTCTCTTCCTCTCTGTAAAAAATCAATAAAATATATATATATTTTTTAAATGAGCAAGCAGAATAGAAATAGACTCTTAGATACAAAGTACATTTGATGGTTGCCAGATGGAATGGGGGTTGGGGACATGGGTGAAAAAAATTGAAGGGATTAAGAAGTACAAATTGCCAGTTACAGAATAGTCATGGGGATATAAAGTACAGGGAATACTGTAGTCAATAATCCTATATAATAAAACCCTAATATTAAAATCAACCAAACAGCAGAACAACTGGTTGCTATGACATGCACTGACCACCAGGGGGCATATGCTTAATGCAGGGACTGCCCCTGGTGATCAGTGTGCTCCCACAGGAGAAATGCTGCTCTCCAGAAGCTGGGCTCACAGCTGGTGAGCACAGGGGCGGAGGCTGGAGTCTCTCTTGCCTCAATAGCAGTCAGACATCCCCCAAGGGCTCTCAGACTGCAAGAGGGCACAGGCCAGGCTGAGGGACACCCCCCACCCAGTGCATGAATGTCGTGCACCAGGCCTCTAGTATTCTAATAACTGTGTATGGTATCATATGGGTACAGAACTTAATTGAATTGATTACTTAGTAAGTTATATAATGTTAATCACTGGGTTGTGCATCAGAAACTGATATGATATTGTATGACAACTGTAATTGAAAAATAAAAAACGAATTTAAAAAGTTTAAAGAATATTGAGTAGCAGAAACTTCAATTGAACCTAGAATTTCAGTCTACAATTAACTAGTTCTGAATTGGTTAAACTCTAAATTGAAATAAAGTAGTATTTTCCCACCAATTCACATCTCACAGTAACTTTATATTTAACGCATAAATATGTACACATATGTCTATAGATACATGTATGTACATGTATACATATATACATTTAGTGAACTTGTTTGAATGAAAGGAATCTGTGATATTTTATATAACTAAAAATAAAATAAAAAATAAAAGCTACATTTATGAGTCTTGGTCAGATATCTCAGTTGGTTAGAGCCTCTTTCCAATTCACCAAGGTTGCGGATTTGATCAGTCAATCAGGGCACATACAAGAACCAACCAATGAATGTATAAGTAAGTGGAAAAACAAATTGAGGTTTCTTCCCCTCTCTCTTTCTCTCTAAAAATCAATAAAAAATAAGTTATTAAAAAATAAAATTAAAAAATAAAGTAAGGCACTTGAAGGCCATTACTATCCTTTTTAAAAACAGTTTTATTAGAGTATAATTTATATATCAAAAAATTCACGCTTTTTATGTGTACAATTCAATAATTTTTAGTAAATGTACAAAGTTCTGCAGCCATTACCAGGATTAAATTTTAGAACATTTCATCAATCCAAAAAGTTCCATAGTGTTCATTCTCACTCCCAGCCCATGCAAACCACAATCTACTTCCTACCTCTATAGATTTGTCTTTTGTGGTTATTTCATATAAATGGACCATATGCCAGGTAGCCTTTTATATCTGGCTTATTTCACTTGGCATTTTTTGAGGTCCATCCAGGTGATACCATGTATCAGTGGTTTGCTGCCACCTCTTAAAAACAACATATTTAATTGGTCTAGTATTTGAGATCAGGTGCTGCTTCATGATTCAGATTTTCTAAAGTACCTTCTTTAAATAACTAAATGCATTATCTTTTTATTTTTTTCATAGGATTTGATGTCTTTTGAACATCAGTGGACTAACTTCTTCGCTAATTTTGACACGGAAGTTCCTTTCCTGCTGGAACTTTCTGAATCTCAGGCGGGTGAGGTATGTATGGGAAGGATCTAAGGAAAAGAAGAAGTTGGTTGATTTATTTGTTTTTATCTTTACTTAATTTTTTTCCAGAATACAACACTACCAATGCAAATTTGTTTTGGTTATCATTTTCTTAAGTTTTGTCTCATGCCATAAAGAAGTTTTTAACCCCATGCCAACCCCTATATAAAAAGTTGTGGGGAGGGTTCTGTGCTTTTCTATAAGTCTACTTATTTTTTAGTGTGGTGGTGCCTCTGTCAGCTAGGAATTCTATTAAGCATTAACTAATAAGCCTAGGATTAATTCTCTACCAGTGAGTAGTATACCTTTGATCATGAAACAATCAGAATGTGCCAGAAGACACGGCAAAGTAATTTTGTTTTATGATGACGCACCATCACACACTTCAAAACCAGTTAAAAACATGTTAAAAGATCTTGCCTGGGAAGTATTAACCCACCCATTGTATTCACCAGACCTTGCTCGTTTAGATTACCACTTGTTGCGATCACACACTTTCTGAGCAGCTCTTCAAAACATATGAATAAGTGGAAATTGGGCTGAATGGTTTGCCTCAAAACAAGAAAAGTTCTATTGGGACAGTATCCACAAATTACCTGAACGCTGGGGGAAATGTGTAGCTAGTGATGGACATTACTTTGAATAAAGCACTTTTGATTTTTCTCTTGAAATTATAGTGTTTTCTTTTATTACAAAATCTGCCATTATTAACGGATACACCTAGTATATGTAGTCAATATCCACTTTGCTTTTTTCACTTAACAATATATCCTGGAACTCTCTCCAGGTCAGTTCATTGAGATTTTCCTCATTCTTTGTTATAACTTATAGTAATCCACTGTGTGGGTTTATCTTAATTTATTCAACCAGTCTCTTATATGGACATTTAGGTTGTTTTTGATATTTTGTTCTTGTAAATAGTAGCATAGTAAATAACTGTGCTTATGTATTTTAATATTGTTGGAGATTTGTATACCTAGTAATGGGATTGCTGGGGTCAAAAGGTAAGTGATATGTATTTGTGTTAGATATTGCCAAATTTCCCTTCAGAAGGATTATACCAATTTATATGCCCACCAGCAGTACACGAAAGTGCCTTTTCCACCACAGTTGCACCAATAGAATGTGTTGTTATACTTTTTAATTTTTGACAGTCTCATAGATAAGAAATGGTATCTTGGTATAATTTTAGAGAGAGAAGGAGGGGGGCTAGAGAGAGAGACATCTATTTGTTGTTCCATTTATTTATTCATTTATTGGTTGTTTCTTTTTTTATTGATTTTAGAGAGGAAGAGAGAGGGAGAGGGAGAGAGAAATAGAAACATCAATGATAAGAGAGAAATGATAAGAGAGAATCACTGATTGGCTAACTCCCACATGCCCCCCACTAGGGATTGAGCCCACAACCTGGGCATGTGCCCCTGACCAAAATTGAACCTACGGCCCTTCAGTCCACATGCTTTATCCATTGAGCCAAACCAGCAAGGCTGGGTTATTTTTTATTTTATTTTTTTATGTTATCCAACTGGGGTTTGAACCCTCAACTTGCCTTATTGGGATGATGTTCTAACCAATTAAACCACCAGGGCATCTTGGTATTATTTTAATTTGTATTTTTTAAGGCCATTTTATATTTTATTTTCATGTCTTTTTTTCATTTTAACATTTTATAATATTAACTGAAATGTAGAACATAGGTTTTAGGTATTTTGTCCCTTACTTTTAAAGAGTCCTTTATAGCCAAAACCGGTTTGGCTCAGTGGATAGAGCGTCAGTCTGTGGACTGAAAGGTCCCTGGTTCGATTCCGGTCAAGGCATGTATCTTGGTTGTGGGCACATCCCCAGTAGGGTGTGTGCAAGAGGCAGCTGATCGATGATTCTCTCTCATTGATGTTTCTAACTCTATCCCTCTCTCTTCCGCTCTGTATAAAATCAATAAAATATATTTTAAAAAATAAAATAAAGAGACCTTTATATGTCTAGGTTATTAACTTTTTGTCTGTGGCATATATTTCAGATATTTCCTCAGTGTTCATCTATTTCTCTCTCTTTCTCTCTCTCTCTCTCTCTCTCTCTCTCTCTCTCTCTCTCTCTCTCTCTCTCTCTCTCCCCCCCTCTCTCTCTCTCTTTTGTCATGCACACTTTTTTATTTTTATGTAAATTTATTAATATTTTCTTATACTCCCTCTGGACTTTGAGTCATTGTATAAGTAAAGGCTTCCATCTAAGTTTAAATAGGAATTCACCTTTTTGGGAATTATATGGTTTAATTTTTAAAATTTAGATCCATAATTCATTTGGAATTTTTCTATGTGTGTGTATCTAATTTTACCTTTTTTCCCAAGTGCCTACTTAGAATCCCAGTTACTCAGTTCACACTAACTCTGTGATCTGGGACAACTTAATTAACTTTTATGTCTTAGCCATCTCATCTCTAGAGAGGGGATAATGATAGAATGTTGTTAATGAGAATTATTTTAGATAATACCTTTAAATGCCTATCGCAGTCCAAATAGTAAACTCTCAGTACATTTTAAGCTATTATTATAGCTATTATTATTTTAATATATAAATAGGCTTTACAAATAAGTAAGACAAATACCAAAACTCCAATTGATAAACATCTACAGAATATAAATAACAGTAAATTACCAAAGGGAAATCCAAATGTCCATTGAACATATCTGAAATATCCTACTTCATTAAAAATCAAAGAAATGTAAAATAAAACAACAGTGAGGTACCATTTTTCATTTATCAACTTGACAAATATATTTTTAAGTGGACATTTAATAGACAGTGCTCAAGGGCATGTACCTTGGTTGCGGGCACATCCCCAGTGGGGGGAGGGTGCAGAAGGCAGCTGATCGATGTTTCTCTCTCATCGATTTTTAACTCTCTATCCTTCTCCCTTCCTCTCTGTTAATGGACAGTGCTTATGGTCATACCCTGAAATAGGCATAGTCATATATTATAAGAGGAGCTGTACGTTGATAAAACTTTTTTGAAAAACAATTTGGCAATATAGTTTTGGCATTTTACCCTATAATTGAATTTTCTGATCTGCATTAAGGAAATAATCAGAAATGCAGATAAAATTTCTGCAAAGTTCTGACAGTATTATTTATTATACTAGAGGCCCAGTGCATGAAATTCATTCACAGGGGAAGGGGGTTCCTCAGCCTGGCCTGCACCCTCTCCAATCTGGAACTCCTTGGGGGGTGTCCGACAGCTGGTTTAGGACTCATCCCACAGAACCTAAACCAGCAGTCGGACATCCCTCATAATCTGGGACCACTGGCTCCTAACCACTCATCTGCCTGCCTGCCTGATCAACCCCAACTGCCCTCCCCTGCCAGCCTAATCGCCCCCTAACTGCTTGTTCCCCAGCACCAGCCTGATCTCACCCCTAACTGCTTGCTCCTCTGCTGGCCTGATCACTCCTAACTGCCTCTGCCTCTGCCTCGGCCCCCACCACCATGGCTTTGTCCGGAAGGAAGTCGGAAGTCTGGAAGATGTTCAGTTGACCTGGTCTAATTAACATATTACCCTTTTATTAGTATAGATGAGTTAGTAGCAATGTAAATTTCCAAGAATAAAAGACTATTTAATAAACTTTGGTATAATCATATATTATATGGAAATACCATAGAAAAAATTTTTGAAGAAAATGTACCAGAATGTTAACAGTTCTTAGAGATTTACATTGTTTTTATTATATTCTAAAATAAACATATATTAGTTATATATTTGAGGAGGAGGTAGGACAATAGATGTTAGTTAAGGAGATTAAATTTTTGAGCCCACATATCAATTTTTTATTAGTGTTAAACCTAGCACTATGCACAGCATCTGTCAGTGTTCTTCTTAAGTTCCTTGGATTCTCCTCATTGATGATTTTCAGTTAATTAAAATTAACATTCTTTTATTGACAAAATAGGGAAATGTTTTAATTAAAAAAATTATTCCCATGTAATTAGTAACTTGGACCATAGATGGTGGTTGTTCCAATTTCCTTTCATCATTTAAAAACTATAAAATTTGACAAGAATATCTTTTCTTTACCTTTCTTTTTCTTTCCTTTTTTTTTTTTTGCAGCCTCTTATCATTGTTCCTTTGTTATTGTTTTTTTTTTTGCTAACTGTCCCCAAAATTCATTTTACTATCCACCACATATGTCCTTCCATGTTCTTATGATAATCTGAAAACATATAATACATCTCTCTCCACACACCCCCACGCACAAATTATGTGTATATATATTTATACATACTAGTACATTAAAATATACATGAGAGGTTTTGTGATTGTTTTATAAGATTATGAACTTAATATGTACAATGTTGGCTTCTTTTTTAGCCATTCAGAAGTTATTTCAGCCATGGAATGATCTCTAGCCATATAACTGAAAACAGGTAAGGTTCTTGGGAAAGAGAGGTGAATGGTAATAGAAAAAATAGGGTTGACACAGGAGGGTGGATGTGAAGGAACATCTGAGTCTAGAAGCTAGAATTATGAAAATATGGGTTGATTTTAGTCATCACAGGGTAAGAAATCCATGCTCTGTAAAATTGTTTCACTGCTTTTGTATTTTTTTAATTTTTTTAATTTTTTAAAAATATATTTTATTGATTTTTTTACAGAGAGGAAGGGAGAGAGATAGAGAGCCAGAAACATCGATGAGAAACATCGACCAGCCACCTCCTGCACACCCCCCCACCAGGGATATGCCCGCAACCAACGTATATGCTCTTGACCGGAATCGAACCCGGGACCCTTCAGTCCGCAGACCAACGCTCTACCACTGAGCCAAACCGGTTTTGGCTTGTTTTTTTTTTAAAAAAATATATTTTATTGATTTGTTACAGAGAGGAGGAGAGAGGGATAGAGAGCTAGAAACATCGATGAAAGAGAGAAACATCGACAGCTGCCTCTTGCACACCCCCTACCGGGGATGTGCCTGCAATCAATGTAACATGCCCTTGACCGGAATCAAACCTGGGACCTTTCAGTCCGCAGGCTGACGCTCTACCACTGAGCCAAACCAATTTCGGCTGCTTTTGTATTTTTTAAAATGATTTCAGAAAAGAAGGGAGAGATGGAGAGAGAGATAGAAGTATCAATAACATCAATTGGCTGCCCCCTGCATGCCCTCTATTGGGGATCGAGCCCATAACCGGGGCATGTGCCCTGACTGGGAATTGAACCCTGACCTCTTGGTTCTTGGGTCAATGCTCAACCACTGAGCCACATCAGTCTGGCAGTATTTTTAAAAATATAGTTGTATTGTGAACTAGCTTTTAGATCCTTATAGCTTGCTGAAACCTAAAGAAGAAATTTTTTATTCCATCTCAGCCCAGGAAAGCTAGAGGAAGCAGAATGTGCAAGGGCTGGGTATTGGCTTGGGAATAAGAGGGATCATCCAATCATAAAGGTTCTGCTCCAAGAAGACATGGGAACTGTTAGGATACATATGTGTTTGTTTTCTTTGATGTGTTTCCTTCAGCACCACTCTTGTCATGATAATCAGGAGGGGATAGTTCCTCAGATGGATATATAAGACTAGATCTTTCCTCTCTTCCCCAATTCCAATCCAATCTGATAGTGAGACAGATTACCTTGGCGAGGATTCAGTCATCTTTTTCTGCCCAAAGTGTCATTTAGCTTGAATTAAGCTTTAGAAGAAAAACCAGTCATGTTTACTTTTAAGAGTCCCCTGTTTGCCTGAAGCTTAAGGAAGTATTTTTAAGAGTGAAAAGAAATCCAAAGAATTTAAGGAAAGCTTAGGGGATAGAAGACACTCTCAATCTGTTTTAGCTGTTAGAACAAAAATACCTTAAACTGGATGGCTTATACACAAACAAAAACACATGTATTTCTCACAGTTCGGAGGCTGGGACGTCTTTGATCATGCTGCTGGCAGATTCAGTGTCTGGTGAGGGCCCACTTTCTCAGAGATGGCTATTGTTTATCTGTAACCTTACATGGTACAAAAGGCTAGGTATCGCTCTGGTATATCTCTGGAACCTCTTTTATAAGAGCTTCTTCTATAATCCCTTTAATGAGGTTCCTGTTGTTAGTAGCTAATTACCTCCCCTAGGTCCTACCTCCTAATACCATCACTTTTCAGGTGAGAATTTTAACATATGAATTTATGGGAACACAAACTTTTAAACATAGAAGAACTATGTTTAAAAAATATCCTTTAATCATTGAATATTTATTGAGATATGAATAATAAATAAGAGATACATTTTTAAAAAATAAGACATGGTCTCTACCCTTATGGAACGTATCATGTGATGGAGAAAGAAGACATTAGACAAGCAACCTCACAGAGAAATATATAATTACAGCCCTGGCTGGTTTGACTCAGTGGATAGATTGGTGGCCTGCGGACTGAAGGGTCCTGGGTTTGATTCCATTCAAGGGCACATGCCCAGATTGTGGGCTCGATCTCCAGTAGGGAGCGGACAGGAGGCAGCGACCAATGATTCTTTCTCAACATTGATGTTTCTATCTCTCTCTCACTCTCTTTTCCACTCTGAAATCAATAAAAATATTTTTTAAGGGCAAGTAGAACAAGCAGAAAATAGAAACCTGGTTTGGGTTTAGTTATGTCCCTAAATAACTAATTCAAATGCATCAGTAGGAGGAGTCCATGACATCTGGCATCCCTTCCCAACCAGCAAGGAGCATTAGGTGGATGATAACTGACCGCTTTGCTGAGACTGCATAATGCCACTTAGAAAAGCCTGAGAATTTACTCATGGGGAGCATGCCCAAGCCAGGAGCCTCTTTTCTAATCATGTTTTTAATTTGTCACTCTAGCCCTAATAGACAACCATTTGTTCTCTTTGGTAATCACTCCACACGAGAAAACCTGAACGCTGGCAGCTTTAACTTCCCCTCTGAAGGGCACCTGGTACGCAACACTGGTCCCAGTGGGAGCTTTGCCAAACACATGGTAAGTGGCTTCACTGCCTAGTGCTTAATTGGATAAAAGGAACATTTTATATGAGTGTATTGCTTTAACCTTAAACTTGAAGTTGGAGTGAAAAGAAGTGATTTGAAACTATCTATATGTATATAAAAGTCCAGCCACCGGATGCTATAACAACCAGAATGACTGATCACTATGATGCCACTGTGGCCAGCCAACTCCCTTGGCCCCTCCCCTCAGCTGCCCCACCCCTGATTGGCTTCTCCCACCCTGACCAGTCCACAAGCTCCTCCCCTGAGCCGTCCCTACCCCTGATTGCCCCCCTACCCCAATAAGGGGTGGGACTGGCCAGCCAACCTCCTGCAGCCCCTCCCCTCAGTTAGCCCCACCCCAAATTGGCTTCCCCACCCCGATCATGGGCAGAGCCACCTGGCCCCTCTCCAATAGGCTCCACCACCCCTATCAGCCCACAGCCCTCCCCTTAGCTAACTCCTCCCCCAGTTGCCCACACACACATACACCAATCGGGGTGGGGCTGGCAGGCCAACTTTCCACGCCCCTCCCCAGGCTGTTGACCTGCGATCAAGCCCCACACACACCCCAGTAGGAGGCAGGGCCCACCGGCCAATTCCTAACCCTAACCCCAACCAGCCTAACCCTAATCAATCCCAATGGGGTGGGCTAGCTGGCCAACCTCTCACCATCTCCTCCCAACAGGCCCAGCCCTGATCTGCTCCAATTGGGGCCAGATTGGACAGAACCTACCCATGCATGAATTTGTGAACTGGACCTCTAGTTTTTAAGTACCTGTTATTATTTGAAAACATCCTATTTAATTGTTAAATATTTGAAGCAAAAAGGTTAAAAAATGCTTTCACAAACCCAACTCTTTAAATTATAAGAATAGTATCATCAATAGAATAAAAAATTTAAATTTCCTTGAAAATACCCAGTCATTCCAAGCCCAAGTTTATATCTTTTTTTGTAAGTTTTATATATATATATATTTTTTTTTTAAATATATTTTATTGATTTTGTACAGAGAGGAAGGGAGAGAGATAAAGAGTTAGAAACATAGATGAGAGTCATCGATCAGCTGCCTCTTGCACATCCCCTACTGGGGATATGCCTGCAACCAAGGTACATGCCCTTGACCAGAATCGAACCCGGGACCTTTCAGTTCCCAAGCCGACGCTCTATCCATTGAGCCAAACCGGTTTTGGCCCAAGTTTATATCTTAACTCTTACATTTCAGGGCATAAACCTTGAGGATCACAGCCCTTTTATTGAGGGTGTCAGAGAGCAGATTTTTGCCTTTGATCGTATATTGTCAGTTAAATTCTTTTAAGGGAAGCAGACTGAAATGTGACTCTAATAATTATAAATCTGTGCTATTATAATGGAATTTTAAGTATTTTCAGAATGTTTTTGACAGTCAAGAAAGCTGGGAAGTGGGCACTATTATTTTTAAATTGGAGTTTGGAGAACATGAAACCCGATTACCTCTGGACTGAGACTCCAGATTATGTCTCCAAGCCAGTAGGGGATATAGGACTATATGAATGGGCAAGCTCTCAGGATCTTGCTGCTTTGTAAAGAAAGGGTGCACAATGTCCAACAAGGAGTTCTTATGGAAACCCAAAGACAACAGGGAAGATAAATACAATGACACTAGAGAAGTTTAAAGCCCCTGGCAACTGCAGCTACAGAAAACATTAAACATAATAACTCAACTCCCTGTCAGATCAATATAAATCCTTATGTTAAAGCCTATTTACCTTAGTTCCTGCTACCTGATATGCCATATCTGGCCATTTTTTTTCTTCTTTTTTTTTTTTTCTAAGATGTGAATTCATTAGCATTGCAGGCTGAGTACCCAATAGACACCTCATAATATAGCTAAAGTTAAAAAAAAACACACACACAAGGTACCTTTGGAAAAACAACTTTTAAAGGTGATCTTTTACCCTATGCCTTTAAGAAAATAATAAATTACCTGTTGATCAAATAAAAATGATTTCCATTGACTAGTACACTTTTTGTTTCTCTAGTCATACACACCTAAATCCCTACTCCTTTTTCACTTTTACTTTTTTCTGATATCCAGGTGGTACAGTGCGTCTCACCAAAGGGACCCCTTGCTTGTTCAAGAACATACTTTTTTGGAGCTACTCATGTTCCTTACTTGGGTAAGTCCCTATAAGTCATCTTCTCATCAACTTAGTTCCTCCCATGAACCAGAAGTGGACTTATGACTTACTGCTTTGCTTAGAAGTTTGTGATGCCCAATTTGTAGCCCTCCAAACTCCCTCTCTGATTGCAATTGGAGGGTTGATGTACTTAACACATTTCTCGCAGTATATATTTCAGGAGAAAAAAACTATTGGCTCAATATATATTAGGTCTAACCATGTGTAAGACCAGGTGCTCAGTGTCAGAGGGAAGGCAAAGATGAGTAAGTCCTAGTTAGAGGTAACAGGAGGTGTGGGTTGCATTGAGAGTTTGGATGACTCATCCAGGTGCCCACTCAGCTCTTTTTTGAGGAAAGTGGAAAAAGTCTATTGAGGAAAGATACCCAGGAACTAAGAACATTGACAGGAGCAAGGGCTTCATGTGGGTCCATCCAGAAAGCTGAGTAGGGCTGCTCACCTTGCTGGGGTAACCAGAAGCTATAATATCCAAAGAGACAATGAGAAGAACCTCTAGAACAGTGGTTCCCAACATGGGGCACATGCCCTTGGGGGGGCAGTTTGATTTTTAAGGGGGGGCAATTCAAGGATGAGTTATTAACAGTGAATTTTTTGCATTTCTTATGGTTCTAGGGGCCTCATATACAGTATATAAATATATATTATGACATATATTGTGGCATTTCAGTTCTTTATTACATGTTTGGGACTTTATTTGCTATTTTTTTATATCATTTTATTTATTTTTTTATTAAATAATTATCTGTATACATATACCATTGCCCACCCCCCTCTCCCATACATGCCCTCCCTCCCCAGAGTTTTGTGTCCATTGGTTATACTTATGTGCATGTATACAAGTCCTTCGGTTGATCTCTTATCTACCCCAGATCTCCCTACCCTCCCCGCTGTAATTTGACAGTCTGCTTGTTGCTTTACTGTCTCTATATCTATCTTTTGGTTCTTCAGTTTATAATGTTCTTTATTATCCATAAATGAGTGAGGTCATGTGGTGTTTCTCTTTCATTGACTGGCTTATTTCACTCAGCATGATGTTCTTTAATTCCATCCAGGTTGCTGCAAATGATGAGAATTTCTTCTTTTTATGGTAGCATAATATTCCATTGTGTAGATGTACCATAGTTTTTTACCCAATCATCTGCTGATGGGCACCTAGGCTGTTTCCAAATCCTAGCTATTGTAAATTGTGCTGCTATGAACATAGGGGTGCATATATTCTTTTTGATTGGTATTTCTAGTTTCTTGGGATATATTCCTAGGAGTGGGATTCCTGGGTCAAATGGGAGTTCCATTTTCAGTTTTTTGAGGAAGCTCCATACTGTTCTCCACAGTGGTTGCACCAGTCTGCATTCCCACCAGCAGTGCACGAGGGTTCCTTTTTCTCCACAACCTTACCAACACTTGTCATTTGTTGATTTGTTGATGTTGGCCATTCTGACAGGTGTGAGATGGTACCGCATTGTTGTTTTGATTTGCATCTCTCGGATAATTAGTGACTTTGAGCATGTTTTCATGTGCCTCTTGGCCTTCCTTCTGTCTTCTTTTGAGAAGATTCTATTTAGATCCATTGCCCATTTTTTTAATTGGGTCATTTATCTTCCTTTTATTAAGTTGTATAAGCTGTCTGTAGATATTGGAGATTAAACCTTTTTTATGTCATTTTATATTATTACTAGAGGCCCAGTGCATGAAATTCATGCACAGGAAGGGGGTCCTTCAACCCAGTCTGCACCCTCTCCAAACTGGGACCCCTTGAGGGATGTCCGACTGCTCGTTTAGGCCTGATCCTGGTGGAATAGGTGGGATCAGGCCTAAACGAGCGGTCGGACATCCCTTTCACAATCCAGGACTGCTGGCTCCCAACTGCTTGCCTGCCTCTGCCTGATTGCCCCTAACCACTTCTGCCTGCCAGCCTGATCACCCCCTAACCATTCCCCTGCCAGCCTGATCGACGCCTAACTGCTCACCAGCCAGACCAATTGCTCCTAACTGCCCTCCCCTGCCATCCTGATCACCCCGCAACTGTCCTCCCCTGCAGGCCTGGTCTCCCCCCACAATGCCCTCCCCTGCAGGCCTGGGTCCCCCCCACAATGCCCTCCCCTGCAGGGCCTGATCTCCCCCAACTTCCCTCCTCTGCTGGCCTGGTCACCCCTAACTGCCCACAACTGCCCTCACCTACAGGCCATCTTGTGGTGGCCATCTTGTGTCCATATGAGGGCAGCCATCTTTGACCACTTGGGGGTGGGCCATCTTGTGTCTTGGAGTTATGGTCAATTTGCATATTACTCTTTTATTAGGTAGGATTATTTTTTAAACAATTCCTTAATGATTTCTTCCTTAGCACTTCAACTGTCCTTTCGTTCTTTTATTTATCTCTTTCATGGATGCTATTTTCTTTGTAAGCTTGTTTAGACCAAATTAATCACCTTTTAGGCTTCCTCCATGAGAATAGTTCACTTTTTTAATAATAAGAATTATATATCATGAGGGGCATCAGGATTTTAGACATGGTTAGGTGGGGCATGGCCAAAAAAAGGTTGGGAAACACTGCTCTAGAATGAATGAGGATCTCAGCACTGCTCCACAGTACATCAGAAACCAAGTTTCTCCTGGATGTTGTTACATGAGCCAGAAAACTCTGAAAGAAGCATGACTTAGGTCCAATAATTAAGGAAATTAATAGGCAGAACTGAACCTGCTTACTTATACCCCCTAATTTTAAAAAATTAAAATGAAAGCGAAAACATTTCCAGAGCCTAAGATTCTGTGTCTTCTTTGGGAATTAGTAGTGATACTGATTGGGTTGTCAAAATCATTGTCAGGGGTGAAGTACAGGAGGATACTGAGAGAAGCTAGGTTTTGCCATTGTTTGTGCTTGTACAATATTTAACTAAAAGGGGGAGAAAGTAGTTCTTGACATCTCCTGTGAATTAAATTAAGAAATTCTAGCTTCCTTGTAGTGTTTGCATCTCCTGTGATCTTATCACATTCTTATTAGATCCTCTTTCACAGGTGATGACAACAAGCTGCCCAAGAAAACGGAACAAATGTAAGTCTTCATTTCTATTTTATTTTTTATTTTTCAAAGTTGAGTTACTCAGAAGTTGGACTATCCTGTCTACTTCCTTTCGAGATCAGTAGTGGGTAGGACATCTGCTTTATGAGGTGAGCAGAGCTGTGTAATTTCCCCAGAAGTTCCTAGCCCCTATCAGCTGGGAGTGCAGGCTGGAGAGCCTGCCAACTTTGCCATCTGCCTGCTTTCCAAAACTCAGAGGCTTCCTACCTGCACATGTGTACATTTATTTATTTTTATTTTTTAAATTAAATTATCTGTGTACATATACCATTGCCCCCCCATACCATCCATACATTTAAATGGCATAACTCTTTTTAATATGTTTTCTACATAGTGCATTTTTTATTGGGGCTTTCCTAAATATAAAACATCCTGAACCCATTGGGAGAATCTGTATGAAGCCCTCTCTGGTCTGAGTCGTATTTACTCTGGGTTTGACACTCAGATTTACGAAACAGAATTCAGGTCTGAAATCAGGCTGTGCAGCCTTAGAAAGGTCCTAATGTTGACTTCTCTCCCGCCACATATAGTAGGAAGTCAAAAACGGGAAATTAACTTATAATTCTTGTATTAGTCTACTTGGGCTGCCATAGCAAAATATCACAGATTGGGTGATTTAAACAACCAGAACTTTTTTTCTCACAATTCTGGAGGCTGGGAGTCCAAGATCTAGGTGCTGATTGGCTTGGTTTCTGGTGAAGCCTCTCTCCATGAGTTGCTTTCTCACGTGGCCTTTCCTCTATGTTCATGTGAGGAGAGAGAAAGCTAAGAGATCTGGTGTCTCTTCTTTTTAGAAGGTAATATAATCACACTACAGAAAATTTGGAAAAAATAAAATAAGATCCTCCATAATTTTTCCTTTTTGTCACTACACAATAGTATCTTAATGTATCTTTTTCTGGACTTTTAAAAAAATTATACATTTAGGTTTTGTGTAGTAGTAAATTATAGTGTTTGTGCATTTGTGTGTGTTTGTGGGTTTTCTTCACTTTACCAACAAGTCAACCACATTCTGATAGGTTGGTGGGTATGTATAGTCTTGCTTTCTACCTGCTTGTTCTTCTGTGCCAGCTGTATTTAGCTATTGCATTGGGTCCTTATACTGGACCTTAGACATTTCACCTAATCCATATCCATTGGTGCCCAGCTTCATGGACTGGTATTGAGGGGTGCTTGGGTGCACACCAGGGGACTGGTGGAACTTGGGCCTTGTGGTGTCCCAGTAATGGCAAGAGCAGCATGACTCAGGCACAAAGCAGGCCATTCCCTTGTCATGGGTCTCAGACCTTCTATCCAGGCCCTATTAGTAGCTCAGTGGCTATGTATTGATCTCTTGTCTGAGGGCCAAACAGGGGGAGACCTGATCAATGTTAGTACTGTATGATGTTTGAATCAAGCTGGGTTGGGTAGGGAGGAAGATTATCTTTATATACTTTTGGTGTTGGCCTCTATACAGCTTCAGCCTTAGAGTTGAGATGTGGAGGGTTCTGGTTTTACCTAGAAGTGGCCAAGTTCATTGGCAGTATCCCTACTGGGCCCTTCCTACCAGGACATGCCTTAGTATGTCCTCCTCTGATGTCACCTTGCTACAATCTTCAGGATATGACTCTTGGAGCCGTCACTTTGTTATGTGTACTTTTTCTGTTCCTTTTCCTTCTAACCAACTCAAATCTCTTACCTATTATACAATGCCGAGGCGTGGTTAGGGAGCCATGGAGGAAATTGGCAGTGTGATGTGGCACTGGGGAAAGCACCAGGCTGAGAGCAGACCTGAGTCTGGATCTGCCATTAACTTTCTGTGTCCTTGGACAACTTATTTCACCTCCAGAGGCCTATTTGCTTTTTCTATAAGATGAGAGCATTAGACCAGATCATTTCTGTTAGACTGTTCATTCCTCCTTTCAAACTCCTGTCACCTTCCTTTACCTCTTTCAAAGGCTTAAAAATAGACATATTCTTAGGGAAGGCCTTGTCACTTCTTTACTAGCCATCTCCCTTGCCTTACAGGGCCTGGCGGATGAGCCTCTTTTCTCTGTAATTATCCTAATGAGATTCTGGGTCTCCTTCCTCTGAAGCAGTGGCTCTCAACCAGGAACAATTTAACTGTATCACTCCCACCAGCCCCCGCCCCATGAGGACGTTTGGCAGTGTCTAGAGAATTATCTGTCCCAAAATCCTGAGATTGGGGACACTGGTAGCAGTCCAAGTCTGGCAATGACTTTGGAAAGTGAGAAATCAAAGAAAGAGCAAGATTTGTGAGGAAGTGCTTTATGTAGGGAATGCTCCCCATCAGAAGCATTCTGTAGTCTCTAGATCAGGTAAGCTGCCTAGAAAGTGGTCTGTATCTGTTCATTTGTACTTAAGTGGAGCTCATCTTCTCCCCAGAGCAACCTCCCTTGCCCCCTGGGTCTCCCACCCTGAGGTTCCAGTAGCAGTCAGCCTTTTGCAGTCCTGGGGAGAGGACAGCAGGTGTGGTGCATTTGGTCTCTGGGAAAGCAGCAAGTCTGGATCATGACACTGAAGGGATTTAGGGTCCTTAGGCGGCTGCTCCTGCACGTGGAGGGTCATGGAGCCCACATACTTTTCTTCTGTTGGATTACAAACAGGGAGGTTGGTATTTTGAGCAAAATTAATGAGAGCTGGCTTTTCTTATCATAATTTAACAAAGAAAAGTATAAATCAGATGGGGCACATGGCTTTTAAAAGGTTTAGAAATCAGTAGGTTCCTATTTTTCACTTCTCATTCTATTTAAAAATCAGTCCCATAGGGAATGTCATTTTTGTGCATGCAGCTTTTGATGAAACCTTGTAATGCTGTAGTTAACCCATATTTTTTTGTTTTAAAAGTAGGCTCTTGTCACAGGTATATGCTGCTGTTATTGAGGCTGTTTTGGCTGGCATTGCATGTTATGCTAAAACTTCCAGTCTAACAAAGGTAATTTAAGTACCATATTTCTCTTTCCATAGAAGTTATTTTAATGTGAAACTTCCTATCCATCTGGGTGGGAGTTGTTTGGTTTGCTTTTGGACACTTTGTAGTACTCCGTTTTATGTGAGCTTGGGCCTCTGTGGAGCTGACACCAGACAGAGACGCATTTAAAGTGCTGAGCTTGTGCTGCCTGCACTGCCTGTGACCAAGCTGCCCTTGTCATGAATGACAACTACCTTAATCACTTCTTTGTAAATATCTGGTTGTGTTAAAGAAAAAACATTCTAGAGCATATTATTTTACTTAATAGTTTTTTAAAAGTTTAAATATATATATCTTATTCTGTGAATTTTAATAAAATTAGGTAAGCTTATTTTGAGCTACATAGTTTAATTTCCTATAATTCGGTGTAACTGAAGATTAGAAAATCTGACTTGCCTTTCCTAGACAAGCACACGTGCTCTCGTGCTCTGACCGTATCTTCCTTGCTGTTTTGCGGTTAACCTGCCCTGCTGAGTTGGATTCCTATATCTGACCCAGTCAGGAGATGAGAAGAGTCGGCTTGATGCCTCCCCATGCCAATAGGACCTTTCCTGAAGGAAGCCATTTGACATTGGAAAGGTTGTGTATGATGTAGATAGCAGAGAGACTGTAGCATAGTCACCAGCTCCTTGCCATCTCTCTCCTCAGTCAACTTGAATCCCTCATACCGACTTGGGTTTGGTGCAGACCTCAGTTCTCACACCTTTGTTTTTTAGCTAATCTTTTGTAACTCTAGGTATTTGAATCTTCTTAGCTTTGGGCAGAATCTCTGAGGGCAGGCTTCCCTCCCCTAGGGCCAGAGGAAGGGGGAGGAAAAAGCACATTTCCAGACCTCACAAAGACACCATCTCAGCTGATTACAGCTCCCCAGGAGATCAGGTTCCAGTGCCCACCTGCCTGAATGAAGTGTTTCCTGTGAACCCAGCCTGAAGAAAGCTGACACCAGTTCCCCTTAACATGGTGTTTCACTTTAATCTATTGATGTGTACAAAGGAGTCACGTAGAGGGGAGGGGCACAGCGTTGTCCTGGCCAAATGTTAGAAGAGCTCTTTCTTTCGGTGATGTGTGTGTGTTTTCCTGCTGTGAAAGCTAATTGTTTCTGGTTTTTATTGGTTTTATAGGCCAAGGAAGTAGCTGAGCAGACCCTGGGATCTGAGTTAGATTTCTTTGAGTTGATGCAGTTTAAGGCAGCCCTACGGTAAGCAATGGTTGATACTTTCTATAAGGATTTTTTTTGTTTAATATATTTTATTGATTTTCCACAGAGAGGAAGGGAGAAGGATAGAGAGCTAGAAACATGGATGAGAGAGAAACATTGACCAGCTGCCTCCTGCACACTCCCTACCGGGGATGTGCCCGCAACCAAGGTGCATGCCCTTGACCGGAATCGAACCTGGGACCTTCCAGTCCCCAGACCGACGCTCTATCCACTGAGCCAAACCGGTTTCGGCAGGAATTTTTTTTTTAATGTCTGTTTTATAAAGACCCAGAGGAGTGATCAGAGCTTTGAGAGGCCAAGGAGCCAAAGAAGGAGGAACTGTATGAGGAAGCATGTCTTCACTCTGGAATAGGAGGCAGATCAGTACTGGAACTATTGGAGACATGGCAAACCTAGTTCAGAGGTTAGAAAGATAAATCTGGGAACAGGAGTGGTGAGGTATGTTAGGGTCAGGGGTCCCGGGCATGTGAAGACACTCACTGCTTTATCTGCCTCTCAGATGTAGAAACCCTGAGCCTGGCTGTGTCCCAGGATCTAGACACTCTGGGAATTTGGCTTCCTTGGGAGTCTTCCCTCACACATCTCCTGGCACATCACAGTGGATCTATGTGTAGCTCAGTCAACTTAACCCACTGTCCCATATGAGGACCACTTTAAAAAAAAAAAAAAAGCTTTTATATTGATTTTAAGAGAGAGAGAGAGAGGAAAGGAGAGGGAGATAAATCAGTCAGCTGCCTCCTGCATTCCCTCTACCAGGGATCGAGCCCACAACCCAGGCAGGTACCCTGATGGGAATCGAACTAGCAATCTTTTGGTGTGTGGGGAAATAGCCAACCACTGAGCCACCTGCTCAGATGCCTCACATTATCTTAATCCAGAGCACTGGGTAGTGAGAAAGAACATTTAGAAAGGTAAGTCAGTCAGATCTGACAAGAAAAATCCATTTCTGCACTTCCAGGAGTGGAAGAAAGAACCAGGTCCTTTGGTGCAAGGTTTTAGGCTTATTCAGATCTCCTTTCCCTGGGTCCTCTGAGTCTTGTAACTCTGGCCAGGAGAAGGAAGGGAGAAGGGAAGTTTGTTTCCTTAAGGCCTTGCACTGTCCTGGACTATCTTTCCCTGGGAGCCTAAGTTTGCTTTCCAGCTGTGTGGCTTTGGACAAAATAGGGAGCTCTGTGCATCTGTTTCCTCACCCTCTCACCTTGTGGAGTGATTGGGTGTGTACATTTTAGCTGCTGTTGCAGTGGAGTCTTCTCTGTATCATCATCCTTCTTTCCTCAGGGCCTTGCCTGAATCTCTCAGCCTTTCCAGGCAGGCCACCTCTCAATCCCTAGGCCTGAGTGTACCACTCCACCTGGAGAAGGAACAAAGAGAGAACACCAGGCAAAGGGAGGATAGTCTTGACCCAAAAGTGGTGAATGAGGAGGAGATTCAGGACAGCATGGCAGGAGCCCTTGGGTCAGTAGAAAGTCACTCCCAGACTGCAGGGGGCAACAGTCCTGTCACATGGTTCTCTTCTGCTCTGTCCAAGACAGCCCTGAGAATCTGCACAGAGGCGGGGCTCTGACAGGAGTTAGATGCTAGCCCCACACTTGGCCAGTGTGCTGGGAGGGCCCTGTACAGGTGCACTGCAGCAGCAGGTGTCTGGGGAGGACTCCAGCTCAGGGGTCAGCAAGAGCCTACTGACTTTTGTTTTGTTTTGTTTTGTTTTGGGTCTACAGCTCCAAGATGGCTTTTCATATACATGCTGTGAATAATCAGGGAAGGTAAGTGTATTTTTGTGGTGCATCCATCTTTGAGCAAGTTTTAGAAGCAAAAAGAGGAAAAGGGTTAACTTGTGACTGCCTATGTGGGTTGTCTTCTCTCGGTTCTCAGGGTTGGGTCTGAGGCTGACTGTGGTCAGCTGAGACCCTGTATCCTGAGTGCTTCCTACTGAAACCCTGAGGGATGAAGGCTGGGAATGGATCCATTTTTCTCCAAGTGGCCTAGATTCTAATTGTGCATACATGTAACCCAGTGTTTTTAAAAATCCCTGAGAGAAATCTGGGTTGTAGGTTGCTGCTAAGTTGAAAAAAAGAGAGCTTTGAAAATGTTCAGTGTCTCTCCCATTTCTTTCATTTTCTAGAATTGTGCCTCTGGACAGTGAAGATAGCTTATACTTTGTGAAGACGGTAAGAGATATCTAACAGGTCAGCAGGCCGGGAATGGCCTATAGAGGGACTTCTACAAGGGATGAGGTGGGAGTCTTAGGCAGCCCATCCCTTCCCCGAGGAAACTGTTCTATTCTCAAAACTGTTCCGGCTGCCATAGCAGTGAGGCTATGCTTTCCGAGGGTGCCCAGGCAGCTATGCCAGGCCCACCTCATACACCCTCCCATATCTAGGTTCCCTCAGGTGCAGAGTCTGATCTAGGGGCTAAGACTTCCTAAGGTTCAGAAGGCTTCCTCCAATTGGCTGAGATTGTTCTGCCCTCATGTGGAAATGTGAGCTGAGAACAAACCTGTCTCAACATTGTCTGAGGAGTTTTCATTGGTTTCAAACTATTCCAATACCTGTGTTAATATCCTTAACAGGGGCCTGTGAAATGAAACAAACAAACAAACAAACAAAAAAACAGGGTCCTGACTCTCTAGAGAAGTGAAACAAAGCAGAGCTTTCCTGCCCCTGTGCTGGGGGCACATTGATAGGCCAGGGGAATAGTTTAATGATACAAAAATATTGGTCCTTGGCTGGGCTGCTGTGGCCTAGGGGAGCCAAAGTTTCTAGACTAGTTGCTCCCAGACACAGGCTAAGTCCTCCGTTTACCCCAGTGCATTCTGATGAGAAGATTGGCAAGCAATTCATGAGTGGATGGTGGACATGCAGCCAAGATTCTGCCTGTAATATATATGGGCACAAGTTATACCTTGAGTCTATTTTACAGCTATTGCTTGAGCCTTAATGAGCTTTTTGGTCACCTAGAACTAGGTGGGCAGCTGTGGATGAGTTTAAGTAAATGCATGTCCACCACCATCACCAGGAGAAACACAGTAGTGTTATCTCATCTATAGAGAGTAGTACAAGGGTAATTTTTTTAAAGTTGCTAGTAATTTCTGTTTTATGTCAATGTTCTTTTAGAACTAATTGAGGCTTTTCCATGACATCATCAAGATGCTGGGAAATGCTTTCTGATATTTGAGTGATAGTACTTTATCTCCTTGCTAGACTTTAAACTCCATGGCTTCTCTCTTAGACTTGTGCAGTGCTCTGGAAGGTGCTTTGCATAGAAACAGGTGATTAGAAGTCCAGTAGAATCATACTGTTATGTTCAATATGCTTTCCATAGCAGCTAATAAAATGAGAAAGAAGAGATGGGAAGTTGGTGCTTTCCATCCAAATCCTGTCCTCCCTTCCAAGCTGGAAGGAAGTTCTGCCTTCTCTCCAAGCTTTCCTATTGATTCTTCCTATAAGTGCTGTATTTCTATAATTCTGATAGTTTGTGCTACATATATAAGGGAGTAATTCTGTATTAACATATGATGTTTTTGTATAAGAATGCTCTTGTCTCTCCAGCTATATATTATAATGTTTTCTGAAGATATGGACCGTGTTTTACATCTTTTTCTCTCCACATGCCACATATTTCTAAGTACATAGTGTCTAACAAATACTGCATTATTCTTTTTATTAATTTGTTGTTATTTTTTTAAATTTTGTTACATGTATTCTTTTTAATGTTCTCTCGCCCCTTCCTCAATACCAGAAACTAAATATGAAAGAGAGGTATGAGGAGTCCACAGGATTTGTCATCGGTTCTGCCCTAACTGGTTTGGCTCAGTGGATAGAGCATCAGCCTGCGGAGTAAAGGGTCCCAGGTTCAATTCCGGTCAAGGGCACATGCCTGGGTGCGGGCTTGATCCTCAATAGGGGATGTGCAGGAGGCAGCCAAAAAGTGATTCTCATCATTGATGTTTCTATCTCTCTTTTCCTCTCCCTTCCTCTCTGAAATCAATAAAGATATATTTTTAAAAAAAGAAGTGAGGTTCCATTGTCACCTAAGAGGAACCATGTAGCCCAGGAAGGTTCTGTGTCTTCAAATGTTCAGAGTTCTTTGAAACAGATTTAAATAAACCTTCTCACTGTCAAGCCTAATCAGAAAGTTAACTAAAATATAAAAGCCTACCTGTCCCTTATGTACGTCTTTTTATCGTGGCAACATAAAAAATGAGGACTCTGGCTTTAATTGTGGTTTTCTTCTTTCCAACTCTTCAGCCATCTTTTTTACTTTATTTTAAAATCTAGCAATTCCTTCAAGACCCCTCAGTCTTTTATCTCTGTCCTGAGGATGGAACAGGGTTCCAAGTTAGCACAATAATGGCTTCAGGAGCTTTGCACCTGGCTGTTCAACCACGTCAGGCCATGAGGGGACTATTTTATGTCCTTCACCATTGTCATGATCATCCAGACCCTGGCTCCTATCATTTTCTGCATTTCTGCTAGATTCCCCCCAGAATTCTTTCATTTTCACTAGTTTTAAGTGGTAGTTTGGAGCTTTGTTACCAGCTGCTCAGGAGCTTCTCTGAGTTGCCCCAGTGTGGTGGTGTTTTTTTTCAGCCTACTGAAGCCGCTATTTTTATTTGTCTTTCTGTAAAAGCTTGAATGGCTATCTTTTTGTTTTCTGGGTTCTGAAGGTCACATTTGCAGGTGTTGACATGTACCCCAAAATATCCATGAAGACATGTACCAAATGAATCACCTTCCAGATCTGTTAAGAACTTGAACTTGCCAAAACCGGTTTGGCTCAATGGATAGAGCGTCGGCTTGGGGACTGAAGGGTCCCGGGTTCGATTCCGGTCAAGGGCATGTACATTGGTTGCGGGCACATCCCCAGTGGTGTGCAGGAGGCAGCTGACTGATGACTCTCTCTCATTGATGTTTCTAACTATCTCTTTCCCTTCCTCTCTGTACAAAATCAATAAAATATATTTTAAAAAAAGAAAAAGAAAGAACTTGAACTTGTACCAAAGAAGGAATTGATAAAGGTGTAGACGTGCTGGGATCTTATGAGTTTGTGAGCGTACAGAAACCTACCAGAAACACTTCCAACTCTAAACGGTTGGGGAGTAGTCACAGTTAAGAAGGAAGCCTGTGCCAGTTTGACTCAGTGGATAAAGCATTGCCTACAGACTGACGGATCCAGGTTCGATTTCAGTTCAGGACCCATGCCTGGATTCCGGGCTCGATCCCCAGTAGTGGGTATGTAGGAGACAGCCAATCAGTGATTCTCTCTCATCGATATTTCTATCTCTCTCCCTCTCCCTTCCTCTCTGAAATCAATAAAACTATTTAAAAAAAAAAAAAAGAAGAAAGAAAGAAGAAAGGCTGTTATTTTGCCTCTTAAGGAGGATAAGCAACGTGAGGGAATTTATAGAAACATAAAGATACTCTTCTAACTCTAGGGTGTATCTGATCAAGAAGCAATCGGCCCTGCCCAGGGTGGCTAAGTGTAATCCCATGCACCAAAAAGTTACTAGTTCGATTCCCAGTAGGGAGCATGCAGGAGGTAACTGGTCTTTCTCTCCCTCTCCCTTCCTCTCTCTCTAAAAATCAATTTAAAATCTTTAAAAGAAGCAGCAGCAGCAATTGCAGGGAAGCCTGTGTTTTAAATCATCTCCCAGTTCTGAAACATATTTCCAGATAACTTGAGTTTTTCTTAGAAACTCTCTAATTTTCTTTTGAAATGTACCTGAAAGCAGTATTTTGTGGTCTGTTTCTTATGAGTCTCTCCCTGAAGGTTTAAGACTGACAATTGGTATAACTCTATTTTCTAATTTGATACAGGCTTGTATGACTGTCTATGACATTCCTGACTTGCTGGGAGGAAGGGGGAGCTTAGGATCTGTGGTCTTCTCAGAATCATTTTTGACATCTCAGATATTGGTTAAAGAAAAGGGTAAGTGTACATGGTCTCTGGAAAGCAGAGCTTGAACTTTTGGTGGGGAGAAAAGTAAGCCATAAGTGAAGTCAAAACACCAGCAATCAACTAGTGAAATATTAGAATATTTATGATCAACAAAGGGTATATATATTCCAATTTATGAAGCACTCTTATGAATTAATAGGAAAAAGACAAGAAATCCAATTGTAGATAGACAAAAAATGTGAACAGGCAGATCACAGAAATGGAAAACAAAACAGATTATATATATATATATATATATATATATATATATATATATAATCTTTACATATATGTATATATGAATATGTAGTTTTACTAGTAGTCAAGAAAAAGCAGTTTGAAACAATAATTACATTCCTTTTATTACCCATTATGTTGACCAAAAATTCTAGAAAATTATAATATCCAGGGATGGTAGGATGAGTCTGATAATGTTTTGTTTGATTTTTAATATGTACACACCTGTACTACCTTGATAAAAATTAAAAGTATAGATAAAAAGGACTAATTCCTAGAATTCTTCATTTAAATGTGTCTATTTGTTGTAAAAACTAACAGAGTTAATCACATGGGGGAACTTTTCATTAGTCTCCCTACACACACCCTCTGATGAGGAAGTTTTCACTTCCTGGGGGCATCAAACTCATCCTGAGAAGAGGAAGGGTGTAGTTATCTGGGGACTGCAAGGTAGGCTCAGGTGGTAGACAGTAACCTGCATGTCTATGATCTTCCTACAGATGGCACTGTTAACACAGAAACCAGCTCCATAGTCCTGACAGCTGCCATACCCAGATTCTGTTCCTGGCTGGTTAGTGTCATTCATCAGGTGAAATGGACGTAAATGGGGAGAAATCGGGGAGAGCATTTGAGGAAGAGCCTTTTCGTTGGGTCTTGTCAGATCCTAAACTAGCTACTTTCAGGAATGGAAGCTTTTTATCTCAGCTTTCTCTTTATACAAACAAATCTAGTTTCTTAAACTCTCATAATCTTAGAAAAGTTCCAAAGGAAGGAACTATAAAGTTATCCGGGTCCCTATTAAATTTGGGGAAAGAAGAAATTAATATCCCCAATTTACAGATAAGGAGACTGAGGCTTAGAAATTGACCACCTTGTTCAGGGTGGCTCCCTTCTGTGGTTAGAATGTTTGCTACTGAATTTGTACAGCAGTGTCTCTCTATGTGTGAAAAGCAAGTCCCACATTTTCATTGGTGGGATTTGCTCTAAAATACTAGTGCCTTGGAATACAGACAGCAATGAGTCTGGTAATGATCTAAATGAGTGACCATTTTAGAAGCTCTTTATATCCTGTTGCTATAATTCTGACATGGATAGTGAAGAGCAAGAATTAATCTCAGTATGAACAGGTTTAAATGAAAACACACTCAAAATATCTTAATATATTCTCCTCCCTTTATCCCTAATAATAGTGTTTTTCTCGGAAGTGAAGTATAAGTAGAGACTAGCATATCCTTTCCATATATCACAGGCTCATTTAGCTGAACCTCAGGTCCCAGTGAGGGAGCCCATCATGACCCTGGGCTCTGAGTTTTGATGACCAGCAGCCAACTCTGCCAGTGGTCAAGATCTGAGAGACTGGACTTAGGGGAGGAATTGCTCAGTCAGTCTCCTAGAAATATTCCAACCCATGAGTGTAATAAGGGGTGAGGGACACCTAGCAGAGTTTTTACTTTGAAGTAGTATTTTAAAATCTATACTCCTTTTGCTCACAGGTAGAAGATAATGAAGTAAAATTGTCTGAGAAAACCCAGCAAGCAGTGAAGGTAAATAGCCTTCTTATTCTTAATGTTAACACCTAATCAAAATAAAATGTAAATAATTTATATAAAAATAACTTAAAATGTCTCATTTTAAGGCTAATCTAAAGGATCTGTATATCTTTGTCTCAATTCCTGTTTGCATTCTTCCCAGCAGAGTTCTAGAAATAACCATTTTATGGGGTACACAATTAGAAGGATTTTTTCTGCTATTTAGACTTTGTGGTGTTTTTTTTTTTGTTTGTTTGTTTGTTTGCTTTGTTTTTTATTTTAATCTTCCAGTACTATTAAAAACAGATTTCAGATTGGCATATGGAGCTGAAAGGTCAACCTTTAGACCAAAAATAGCTGACTTTGGTAGAGATAAGTCTATTGCAATATAAACAGGCATTGCAAGTTTTGGTGCCTGGACTCAGAGAGGACCTTGCATTGTTTTTATCAGCACAAGTAAAAGTATTCCGGTAACATGATAAAGATCTGGGCAAAGCCAAAGATGGTGGAATAAGTTGGGTATATTTGAAACTGACTCAGCAACTTTTGTAGACAAACTTGGATAAGAGTTTTTATTCTATGAATCTTGATGCTATGACTGAACTGTTCTTTGTGTTTGTTTGTTTTTAAAGGGAGATGAATGTTTTCTGGGAACTTTTCTAACAGGAGGAGAAGGAGCATATCTTTATTCCAGCAATGCACAGTCTTGGCCTGAGGAAGGTGAGCTATATCTTGGTCCCTCTTTTGCAGGTATTGGCATGGATGTTATGATTCATAATACATCTGATATTTGAAAAGACTTTACTAGTAATGATGTAGAAGTGTTTTTTTACACCTTTTCTTCTTTGATCCATCCACTTTGCAGATGAAGAAACTTGTGCTGGAAAGGGCTGGCCCCAGAACTGTACCTAGATCTTGTTGCTAGCTGAGGATTGCCCTCAGAATGGGCCAGAGTAGACATGTCCAGAAATAGAATCTGTGGACATAAACAAAACTTGGATGAGTTTTCTATGTTTAACAAATTACCACAAATTTAATATCTTAAATCAGCACACATTTATTATCTCACAGTTGCATAGGTCAGAAGTCCACGTGGACTTGGCTGGATTCATGTTTGGGGTCTCATAAGGCCAAAGTCAAGGCATCAGCCAAACTAGGCTTTTATCTGGAGATGCTTGGGAAAAACCAGCATCCAAGCTCATCCAGATTACTGGCAAAATCCAGTTCCTTTGGGTTGTAGCATTGAGGTCCCATTTTATTGTTGGCTGTGAACCAGGACCACTCTTAGTTCCTCCTCCCCGTGCTCCCTAACCTGTAATTTCTTCATCTCAGCAACTGAGAACCTCTCTTGCATAGTTGAATTTCTCTCAAACTTTCATCTCTCTGAATTCCTCTTCTGTTACTAGCCAGAGAAAACTCTGCTTATTAAAGGCTCTAGTGATTAGAGGAGGCCAACTCAGATCATCTTTCCTCTTAAATTTCTTCCTAACTACAGTCTACCCTCTGGCTCTACACTTCATGTCTTTTCCACATGAAAAATATATTTACTCCTGCCTAAGGTCTTATCCCATTTTGGTAACTGTTCCAAGTCCTAAATCTCACCAGCTCAAAAATCTAAAATCTTTTCATTAAAATTATCTAAATCAGGCAACCACACACACAAATAGCCAAGCCTTACACAGCAACCCCGGGCATCCCATTTATGTGCAAACAGTTGAGCCTTATGCAATAACCCCTGGTGCCACATCTGCATAAGAACAGCCAAGCCTTATGCAGCAACCCAAGGTGCCCCATCCACACACAAGCAGCCAAGCCTTACGCAGCAACACAGGATGCCACGATTGTGCTAGCTTCCACCAAGCCCAGTGCAGCAACCCCAGGTGTCACAACCAATTGTGAGCAGCCAAGCCCGACACAACACTGGGTGCCTCACACAGCAACCCCAGGGGCTACAACCGTGCGCAAATTGCCACAAAGCCTGATGCATTGACTTTGGGCCTGGTGACCATCCAACCTGCCACCAAGCCCACCGCTGCATTCATAGTCCCAGTGCATCTGGACATCTAGATCCTTCAGTGAGAGCAAAAATGGGGAGACAAAGAAACAACTCCCAAAGGAAAGAAAATGAGACATCACCAGAAAAGGAACTAAATGAAATGGAGGCACATAATTTGTCAGAAAAAGAATTCAGAATAAGGGCAATACAGTTCATAAACTGGAGGGATGAGAAAATCAACAACTTATGTAAGAATCAAGAGGAAATAAAGAGTGATATAGCTTCAATAAAAAAACATTATGGAAGGTTTCAACAGATTAAAAGAAGCAAAGATCCAAATTAGTGAATTAGAAGACAGGGCAGCAAAATACATCCAATCTGAACTGCAATTGGAGAAAGAAAATTAAAAGGCAAAAGGAGAGCCTAAGGGAGCTTTGGACAACATGAAACAAAGCAACATACGTATAATAGGGGTGTCAGATGACAAAAAGAAGAACAAGGGTTAAAAAACCTACTTGAAGAAATGTCAGAAAACTTACCTGATTTGGGGAAGAAGAAAGTCACACAAGCACAGAGAGTCCCAAACAAAATGAACACAAGAAGACCCATACCAAGACACATCGTAATTACGATGACAAATGTTAATGACAAAGAGAGAGTCTTAAAGGCTGCAAGAAAGAGACAGAGACTTGCCTCCAAGGGATCTCCCATTAGATTATCAAATGATTTATCAACAGAAATACATCAGGCTAGAAAGGAATGGAAGGAAGTATATAGTGGATGCAGGCCAGAAGACTGAGTCTAAAAATACTCTATCCAGAAAGGCTATCATTCAAAATTGAAGAAGAAAAAGAATTTTTTTTAAAAGAGTATCTAAATCAGGTAAAGATGAGGCTCTATGGTGTAATCCATTGATTACCACTCCTGAACATACTAGTAATTCTTCTCCATCTGTGGACTTGTGAAATTAGAGACAAGTTACCTGCCCCAGCCCTCCAAATAGATGGGATTGGTATATAACAGTTACAGACATTATGGTTCAGAAAGGAAGGAATTTGAAGATAAAAAGGAGTCACCAGCCCAAGGCAGTTTTGAAATTCTGCTGGACAAATTCCAGTTCCTGAATTAGTTTTCAAGGCCTGGAAATAGTCCTCCAGGAATTTTTAACTCTGCCCTCTGGACTCTTAGTTTCACCCTCCTAAACTCTTAGTTTTTCCCTCTGGGCTAGTGGCTACACCTCTGTCATCCTTTCTCTCTTTCTCTCTCTCTCTCTCTCTCTCTCTCTCTCTCTCTCTCTCTCTCTCTTTTTTTTTTGGGGGGGGGGGGTCCATCCTAACTTTTTCATGAAGATGACACTTTGTAACTGAGTATTTTTATGAGTCTGGTTCTACCAGTAGAATTTTGGGGATCTATCTACTTCATTTCATACTCTCTCTACCTTTCTGGCAATGTTTCTGTTTATATAAAATTCTCACAAACCTTGTTGATCTTGCCTGGATTTCATGGGGACTCGTGCTCCTTTTTGGTTTCCTCAAAATATATTTTATTGATTTTGTAGAGAGGAAGTGAGAGAGATAGAGAATTAGAAACATCGATGAGAGAGAGCATCGATCAGCCGCCTCCTGCACACCCCCCACTGGGGATATGCCCGCAACCAAGGCACATGCCCTTGACCGGAATCAAACCCAGGACCTTTCAGTCCCCAAGCCGACGCTCTATCCATTGAGCCAAACCAGTTTCGGCTCAAAATAATATTTTTTAATATGTTTTGTTCTTTCCCTGTTAGATATAGCCATTTTGGGGAAAGTGAGTTGTGACTTACTCTACAAATTTCTCAACCTCCACTAAGCAAATACTTTTTCTGGGTAATTTATTCTTGAAAATAATTCTGTCTGGTGGCAGATTCCTCTCTCTCTCTTCAGATCAGTGGTCCGGCTCCTGCTCTTCCATTAACATAAAAGACAAAGCACAGGGAGTTCTGGTGCTCCACAAAATGCTGGAGTGATAAGGGATAACATGTATTACTGTGCCTGTGCTGCAGCCCCTGCATTTCTGTTCCATACAACAGCAGAAGACTGCAGAGTCTGGGACATTTGTTGAGGGCAGGGAGCGTGTGACAGTGCTCTCAGCCTTGGGCAAGATTGTAATGTCATAAAGGCAGGTTGTGGTCACAACACAGAGGTGTTTGTATTTTCTCATAGTTGAGCCAATGATAATATTTGTCAAGAATATTTGCCAAATTAGTTTGTACCATCTTAGCAAAGGGCCTTATATAAAAATAATCTTACATTGTATTGAGTTATCTAGCAAGATTCAGTGTATCCTGGGGTCTCTACACAAGAATAAAGGGCACAGCCAGGGGTTTCTGGAGCCTTGTTAGGCACACTCTTTTGAGAGCTTAGATTTTTTCATACTTTCTTAGTTCCTGAAGGAAATGTAGTTTAAATTCAGAGATAGTTTCATGAGGAAGAAAATTCAGTAGGAACAGAGAATTTAAACAGGAGTCTCCTCTGGCTTGTGTGTTAATGTTGCACCATTTTTGGATTCAGGTCAATGTTGTGAGGCTTGAAGTTTATACCAGTTGGGACTCTCTTAAGGAAAAATAACAAAACGGTTAGGGACCTTCTCAGGGCCTTAGAAGGGGGCTTAAGCAGGTGAGGGGTCTTGAAGCTTAGGTGTCATTCGAGTCTTGGCAAATCTGCCTCTGTTTGAGACTATGATGAGTTTGAAAATTATCTGTTTCCATTTTCTGAATGCACTTACGAGGCTGTTCAGCATGTACTACCTTGATTGCTCTTTATAGCCTGGGTCCTGTTGAAGGGGAAAACTTGTCTAAGATCAGGTAGTCTAGGTCTAAATCCCTTCTCTTCAAATGCTTCCAGCTCTGGAACCTTTTCCCTTCCCTGGCTAGTGACTTCTGCTGTCACGAGGCGTCTTGTTATTCAGCTTCCTGTTCATTCAAGTCCTTCATGTGCCCTTCTCGTCCCCATCCTGCTGACCTTGGTCAGGCAGGCTGCCCAGTATCTAATCCTCAGGAGCCCACTTTGGAGGTTTACAACATATGCCTATATCCCTAAACAATGTCTTGTTTTTCAGTAATACAAATAGAATCATACTGTGTGTATTCTGGAACTTGCTTCTTTTCCTCAATATTCTGTTCCTAAAATTTGTTCAGATTATGTATGTAGCCATATAGTTCATTCATTTTCATGGCTCCATAGGATTTTTTTTTTTTTTTGTATGAAAATGTGCTATTTATCCTTTTGGCTCTTGATTGGCATTTGGGGTTTTTATTTTTTTAAAACATTTTTAAAATTTATTGATTAAAGTATCATATTTTTTTCCTCAACCCCCCCATTCTAATCCCCCACCCCTCCCAACTCATGCCCCCACCCCCTATTGTCCTTGACCACTGGTTAGGCTCATATGTATGCACACAAGTCCTTTGGTTGATCTCTCCCTTTTATCCCCACTCTCCTCTGAGGTCCAACAGACTGACCCATGGCTCCTAATCTCTGGGTCTGTTCTTGTTTATCAGTCTGTCATTTCCCCTAGAGGCATTTGGGGTTTTTAAAGGGTTTTGCTCTTGAAGGTAGCACTGTCATGAGCATTTTTGTACATGTCTCCTGGTGTACATGGCACCAGGAAGGTACCCTTCAACCTATCTTTCTTGCTGTATTGTTAACAAAATTTAACTGAGTATGTGTAAATATCTACTTGGCTC